TGTACCTCCCCCTCTCCACCACATGCATTCCGAGAGGCAGACTATAGCATAACCAGCTGTGACACGGCACCACCGCCCATTATGCCCTTGCCTCCTATGCCTACGCCAAGCCCAGTCCTCTTTATGCCATCTCCGATGCTCAACCTTGCCCAGCAACCAGCCCCTCAACCAAACTTCATACTGCTATGCAGCTGGGTTTAGCCCTGGCTCTTTTCCTCCCCCTAAAACCTTTCTCTCACCCACTACTCTTCCCTTATCCAACTCTCCTTTTTCACCCGCACGGGTCTCACCTGAGAGTATTTCAGTCAGTCAGGAAGCTGACATTGAAGAAATGCCGAACACTGACAATGATGCACCTGTTGTGCATTCCTTGAATGCACAACAGGTGCATCATTGAAACCTCATTGGAACCTCACTGGAAAAGGTGCATCATTTTAACCTCGGCTTACGAATGCCCCACCATGCGAATTTTTCATAAGAACATAAGAAAGAAGGAACACTGGAACAGACCCACTGACCCATGTGGAGCAGGTCCATGTCCCCTCCCGGATTAGCCCAATGACCCACCCAGAAGGAACCTTACAGTTTGATGCGAGTAAAGGTCTCAATTTGCTCAGTCAAATTGCCAGCGTGGGCTGCGAGGTGGTGAATATGAAGATGACTGATAACTGGAAAATGATCGCTGTCATGCAAGTCCGGGAGGACAGACCAGGTGAAGCCTAGTACAGTTGAGGAAGAGCAGACCGAGAGATCGATGCAAGAGAGAGAATGAGTATGAGGATCAAAATGGGTGGAAGTACCTGTGTTTAAAGCATGGCGGGGGAGAGAAGCGAGAAAATCCTCCAACTGAATGCCACAGGAGTTACAGTGAGACCCCCTCCCCCCTAGAGGAAATGGTGGGCATTAAAATCGCCAATTAACAGAAGTGGTGGCGGTAAGGAAGAAACCAGAAATGCAACATCTGGGATAGATAATGCTTGAGAAGGAGAGAGATGCAAAGAACAGATTGTATACCACTTATTCAAGTGGATACGGGCTGCAGTGTAATGCAACGAAGTATGAACAGAGCTGATGGTATGGAATACCGGTGCATATAAGAGGTGCACTTTCATTAAAGGTTCCATCGGGAAAAGGATCTGATGAATATAATAAATCATAACCCAAGATGGCTTCATTTAAACAAACACAAACAGGGGAAACCTGGGAGAGCAACACCTGAAGCTCAGCCCAGTTACCTCTGAGGCTGCAGACATTCCACAGTAAATAAGTCATGATTTGCAAAGAGAAAGCTACATGAAATCTGAAGGTGGAGGTATCTATGGAGGCAGCAGAAAATTTTTAAGCAGTGAAGGATTGGGATGTTGCAAAGAAAGGAGTTGTGCAGATGGAGAAGAGTGAAGAGGAGGAACAGGTGGTGGATCGTTGTTCATCAATGGTATAGTCAATACAATACATTCTGAGATAGTTTCAAGTGTTTCTGAGGACAAGGACGTTGTATGTGGTACAATAGTGGAGATGGAAGGAGGGTGAATGAAGATCAAAGTAGAGGGGCACGAAAGGGTGGAGGCAGCTAGAGAAGAAACTTGGGAGGGGACAGAAGAGGAAGCGACCTAGGAGGGGGCAGAGGAGGAAGAAACTTGGTAGGAGACAGGAGAAGAAGGTACTGTCTGAGGAGGAAGATGAACCTCCACACTCATAACATAGCCAGTTAGAGGTGAAGAACCAGGTACAGAGACCAGGAAGGAAAAAAGGGCAGGTTGCAGAAGGGAAGGAGGGGTTAAAGGAGATTTTAACGATTGGGATGATTTGGACTTCGGAGAAGGACAGGAGCGATGGGGAGTAGGTGGTGTACGAGGTCTTGCAGACACAGAAACTTATGAGTGAGAAGAGGAAGAGGTGAGAACAGAAAGAGATGCTGAGATAGGGACCTCTGAATTCAGGACAGCAAAAGAATTAGAGACGGGTGACTGTGGCAGGGGTGACCACAGAGGCTGCAGAAGTTGGGACCTCAGAGGAGGGAGAACGTTTAGTAACTGGGGAATAAGAAATACGGGGAAGTCTCCCTTGGAGGCATAGATGAGAGACTGCCAGAGCATATGGGAGGCCTTCTGCCTCTTTGAGACAATGGATTTCATGCTCATTTAAGTAAACTTGGCAATGGCGAGAGCAAGATGGGTGAACCTCATGACAAGGTATGGTCGTCGGCACCACAGACTGGGCATTCGGCCATGGACCTGCAATATTTTGCTGTATAACCAAAATGCCAGCAATTTCTACACTGTTGCAATGTAGGGATCACCTTTCGAACTTGTAAATGGTGACCCACAGTATACACAGAGGACGGAAGCTCATGGCAGTCAAAAGTTGAGTGAGCTACATTGCAGGGGTATCATCTCCACCTGCAGGCAGGGAGGACATAAGTGTCTACTTTGAGGATTGGGAGGTCTTAGAATTCAAGCTGTTCCAGAATGTCATCGCCACTTGTCTCGAAATTCTGTTGGACAGTGGTATGGGACAGAATGACTGCTACTACAAGAATTGAGGGAATGATGTTTTTTCAATAGTTATAGGAATAGTATCGATAGTTGTAAGGAGAGAAAGATTGTGAGCTTGGTTAGCATTCTGGACAGTGATGATGCGTGTACCACTCTTAAGATAAGATTTCGTTCGGATTTTTAACCCTGGAGGGTTAGCCACCCAGGATAACCCAAGAAAGTCAGTGCGTCATCGAGGACTGTTTAACTTATTTCCATTGGGGTCCTCAATCTTGTCCCCTAGGATGCGACCCACACCAGTCGACTAACACCCACCAGTCGACTAACAGGACAACAGGTGTAAGGAAACGTGTCGAAATGTTTCCACCCGCCGGGAATCGAACCCGGGCCCTCTGTGTGTGAAGCGGGAGCTTTAGCCACCAGGCCACCGGGCCTGGCGTAGGAGAGCCTTGTCAATACTAGGTCAGAAAGATAGGCAGCAGAGAAAGTCGGTTGTAGAGTAAAAGACTTAGTCAATTGTGTATTTTGAAACATAGCGTGTAAAGGGAGTGCGTGATGTGCCAGTCTTTTCTGAGTAAAATCAGAAGGAAGTGATGAAGTATCATCAGGTAATGGTCATGGGCGTTTAGGTGTGGGACTCGAGTTGGTCCGACATGGGACGTGCAGGTGATCTGGAAATTGCCGCACCTAGAGGGAGAAGATGAAAGCATAGTCAAAGAAGAGTGGAGGTCAGACTTATCAAAGGAGTCAGCAGGTTCATGAATTTGGGACTCCATGGTTATGTCACTTTCTTTTTGTTTTGTAGAAAAAAAAAGAAAAGAAAAAAAGGGGGAACGTCGAGGAATAGCTCCTAGGAGGCAAAACAGGGCTGTAAATCCCTCTCCATGCCCAAGAGGACCTCAGCACCACAAGTAGTGCAGATGCATCATGGAACCTGTGCTATACCCTACCCTTCATGCCAGTAAACCAGCAATCCAGGATAGCAACATCACATTCATTGAGCCACCTCGGTGGACAAAAGAGAGAGCAGCCAGACACCCTCCACAAAGCATACCTCCTTTGGCCACCACCCCCTGGAATCCGACAGGCAGCCTCCAGAGTACACTCGTCACCCAAAAGACATCTAAAGCCATTCCCCAGAGAGGGATTGGGACACCTCCAGGTGATCCAGATTCCATGGCAAACTACACCACTGCCAAGGACCTCAACGGAATGGGATGGTCTCCGGTACCCTTCCCCCTAACTAGGAACTAGAGTGCCTGTGGGAAGAATCCCAAAGGTTGAAAATAGGCAGGGAATAGGGGAGGGATGGGGAGGAGAAGGAGGAGGAAAGGGAAAAAAGGAGGATGGGGAGGATGGGATATGGAAGGGGGGATTGGGGGTAATTAGGCTTGGTTTGAGAAAGGAGACCAAAAGCTCAAATTTCTCAGACCAAGAGCCTCTTCACCACACCAAGGAACTCCCCCCCCCCCTTGAAGAGGATCCAAGCCATAGAATTTGTATAGATTAGATTTTTGTTTGCCAGGATTTTTTGTGGTTGTGCTCCATACTGGTGCATTTTTCTGTTTTCCCACTACCTACCACCCCTGAATGGACATTAGTGCATCCACCAGTTTTTACTGGTAATTTGTCAACACTATTCCCTAAGACATCATCCCCTTTTGTTCTAACTCCAGCAGCATTGCTACTTTGTACCTCTGGAAATTGTATAATGTTGTCTTTACCCGTTTCATCACCAGGGCCATTATCTCCATTTGGGGCATTGTCCTCAAGGACAATACCAGCCCCATCTGGTACACTGTCCTCCAGGGCAACACCAGCCCCATTTGATGCACTGTTCTCCAGGACAACATCAGCACCCTCTGGTGCACTGCCATCCAAGACAGCCCAGCCTACCCACTCATTTTATTTTCCCAGCTGTTATACAAGGCTGTCATGTTTTCTAAGAAGGAAATTTTGTTGGTGTTCTTGTCTTTTAATATAGATGCAATTTTCTTCCACATGTGTATCTCACTTGGGTAGACCCAAAGACATTTTTCTGATTTTATATCAATAGTGGTTGCTGGTTTAAAGTTTCTGCATGACCCATGGGACCATTTACAGCAGGGATTGCATGCAATCCAAGCCTGACTTCGTCTGTTATTCTTTGTACAGACTACACAAATGTTCATGATGGTGGTTATTTACAACTCCTGGCACTCTTGGCAACTCTCCTAGCTAGCTAATTGGAAGGTTCACTGAAATTATTTAGTTTTCAGTGTTTGAACACTATCTTTTGACAAAACTATAATACTAAAAAAACATCAAAATAGATAAACCACACTATAAAGACTATCGCAATAAAATACATGCAACACTAGCACTTTTCATCCCTAACAAAAGAACTATGTACTGTTGTTTCTTAACAGATAAAGAACACTGGAAATTCCTTGACCACAGAATGCTCCCCAACATTACTGATTCCTTCCCCTCCAACAAGAACAGAATCATAATACAATATACAACAGAAATCATTGCCACAATATACCAGAAAAACCATACCACAAAAATCATCATAAAAAAGGAATTACACCACAGCACTCTTCCATGGTTTTAGACTCAGTACCTGGGACGTATTCATGGGAGAAAGTCTGCTATACTTGACGGCTACAGTGACAAGGAACTACTCAGAAGGCAAGACATACTGTGCTTCCATACCAGGTCATCGCCTCGTTATATTCAAGACGCTTCAGCAGAAGGACATCATACTGGCACTCATGCAAGGTGAGCTTTTATCCGTTACCTCAGATCAGGTACTGATTGTGTGTGTATTCTGGGTGAATTTCCTTCCAGAGGTATAAGTATTTCCTATTTACTGCAGTGGTAAATGTTCCATCCTCTGATGTATTACTCCAAGAACTACCTTTGTTGGAGATAATAGTGACTGATGAAATAGTTTTCCCTCTTCCCTCTCCTCCTTTCCACGCTCTATTAGTGTGGTAAATGCTTCTTAATAAATGAAATGATTGTTTCAATGGATATTAATAATTATTGAATGGATAGTTTCATAATTTCCGGGACTTGTTACCTATTTTTTCATATATTTTATTTAAAATATTACATTACATTAAATAAACAAAAAACACAGATCTTAATCTTCCACAGAATTATAATTTTCCATTGCCTAAATACATACCGCACATACAACTTCATGCAGGTGCATGCTACTCCCCTCCCCTCCTTTCTTTTTATCCCTCTACACCTATTCTAATTACATGGTTACACAGGATACTTCAACAATTAAGATTACAAATATACATTAATATTTCAGTATTGTACTTATCACCTGATTGAGTTCTATGCCTTCACTAAAAGCTTGTACAATCTACGCCCACCAGTCATGGTTTTTGTTCCTCGTAGTACATCATTGCCATTACACTACACAGGTCATTAAACATACACAATGCTTTCTCAGACCAAAACTACCTATTCCAAACTCAACCCCTGCACAACCTTGTGGGGAGCCTCCCCCACCCCGGTTGTGTTTTCACCCATCCACCTAATCCCAACCTAATTATAGTACAGAATACAATGACATAATATTGAACATGAAGATTCTACACACGTACATGCAAGGGAAATAATTAGTATGCAATAATTAGTTTGCCACTGCCATTTACACAAGTACACCTCCACTCACACCCATCCACCCATCACCCCACACCCCAAGAGGCCAACCCTGACTCCCCCCAACCTCATGCATCTACAGACTCTCACATGCATTTTACTCCCCTCATTCACAACGCCAAGAAATCCCCTACTGTTAACCCTCTTTAACCCTCCGAAAAAGCCACCCCCACCCTTTCGTGTAAATGTCTCTATTGTGGCACAACGTTCGATAAAACGTCGCCGCCAATACCCTTCGCCTCACCCCCCACCCCTTTCCCCCTCATTCCCCACAAGATGTATGCATAATCCATGATTATATATGCCAAAGCCCTTGCGACACTCATCTACCCCCCCTTCCATATCAAGACTTAGTACCCACAACATCAACACACTTTGACCCCCGGCCCCTGCTACCACCCTACTCATCCATCCCCAGATGCACGCTAATCCTTCACAAATATAGACCACATGATACGCAGTCTCCTCCCCTCCAAAACCTGCCTATTCCTGAACACTGCTCCCGACGGCAAAATGCCATGCAAGAAGCAATACATGACCTCAAGCACCCTAGGTTATAGCATTAATTTGCTGAATCATCACCATATTTTATCCCACGTGTACATAGGGTAAATCCCTTCTACCGGTGCCACTACCCTACCCACTATCATTTTACACAAAATTCCCATCCTTACTTTCCCAGGTTCCCTGGCTAACACTAACGCAAGTAACACAGTTTCATATTCCTTCAACTCCGCTCCCCTGTACCATCTCCTCAGTTGATCATGTACCCTGTCTAGCTGCCCCCATCCCCTCCGTCCTCCTACACGCATCACTTCCCTCTTAATGAACACACATTTTACGCACCTTCGCATGTCCAACAATCTTAACCCTCCCTTACATAAGAACATAAGAACTTAAGAACGAAGGAACACTGCAGAAGGCCTACTGGCCCATGTGAGGCAAGTCCAAGTCTCCTACCGGCTTAAGCCAATGCACCCAACCTAGTCAGGTCAGGTCACATTGACTTAAGGGAGGAACACGGCAACCGACCTGGTAGCACAAGCTATCAGGTCCAACTCACACCCACCCACATCCACTCATGTATTTATCCAACCCACCTTTAAAGCTACACAACGTTCTGGCCTCTATAACTGTACTCGGGAGTTTGTTCCACTCATCCACAACTCTATTACCAAACCAGTACTTTCCTATATCCTTCCTGAATCTGAATTTTTCTAACTTAAAACCATTGCTGCGAGTCCTGTCTAGGCTAGATATTTTCAGCACACTATTTACATCCTCTTTATTTATTCCTGTCTTCCATTTATACACCTCAATCATATCCCCCCTAATTCTACGTCTTTCTAGAGAGTGCAGATTCAGGGCCCTTAGTCTATCCTCATAGGGAAGGTTTCTGATACATGGGATCAACTTTGTTATCCTCCTTTGTACATTTTCCAAAGCATTTATATCCATTCTGTAATACGGTGACCAAAACTGTGCAGCATAATCTAAATGAGGCCTAACCAAGGATGTATAGAGTTGAAGAACAACCTGAGGACTCCTATTATTTATGCTTCTTGATATGAAGCCAAGGATTCTATTAGCTTTATTGCGAACACTTACGCACTGTTGTCTTGGTTTCAGATTACTGCTAACCAGAACTCCTAAATCTTTTTCGCAATCCGTAATATTAGGATCTACATTATTTAGTTTATATGTGGCATGGTTATTGTCCTGTCCAACATTTAGAACTTTGCATTTGTCTATATTAAACTGCATCTGCCACTTCTCCGACCACTGCATCAGTCTATTCAAATCCTCCTGGAGTGCTCTAATGTCCTCGTCAGAATGAATTCGACGGCCTATTTTGGTGTCATCGGCAAACTTGCCGATGTCGCTCTTTATGCCCTCATCTATGTCGTTTATGTAGATTGTGAACAGCAGGGGGCCCAACACTGACCCCTGTGGAACACCGCTCGTGACGCTTCCCCACTCTGATTTCTCCCCATTTATGCAAACTCTCTGCTGCCTATTTGTCAACCATGCCTCTATCCAGGAAAAAATTTCTCCTCCTATTCCATGTGCCTTAATTTTCCTCAATAGTCTCTGATGTGGGACCCTGTCAAAAGCCTTACTGAAGTCCATATACACAATATCATATTCATTACCATGATCTACGTCCTCAAATACCTTAGTGAAAAAAGTTAATAAATTCGTAAGGCAGGAACGCCCCTTTGTAAAACCATGCTGAGATTCGTTGATTAATTTATGCTTTTCAAGGTGGCTACGAACTGCCTCGGCAATTATTGATTCCATAAATTTTCCCACTATGGAGGTTAGGCTTATTGGTCTATAGTTCGAAGCTAAGGACCTGTCACCTGTTTTGAAAATAGGTATCACATTTGCCATTTTCCACTTATCTGGCACCATGCCAGTTTGTAGCGATATGTTGAAAAGATTAGCCAAAGATGTGCTAAGCTCCTCTTTACATTCCTTTAGAACCCTTGCATACAGTTCATCAGGGCATGGGGATTTGTTAGGTTTTAATTTATCTATTTGCCTAAGGACCATGTCACTTGTGACCCTAATCGTGCACTGTTTATTATCGTCCTGTTCTACATAATTTATTATTACTGGAATATCGCTGGTATCCTCCTGTGTAAAAACTGAGAGGAAGTATGTGTTAAAAATTCTACACATTTCCTTATCACTGTCAGCGAGCTGACCCGAGGAACTTTTGAGTGGGCCTATCTTGTCCCTGATCTTACTTCTGTATACCTGAAAGAATCCTTTTGGGTTAGTCTTCGATTCTCTTGCAACTTTAACCTCATAATCTCTCTTTGCTTTTCTAATTCCCTTTTTTATTTCTCTCTTTAACTGAATATATCGATTTCTTAATTGCCCCTCTCCTCTTTTGATTTGCCTATATATGCCTCTCTTTTGACCAGTCAGATATTTTAATCTATTGTTCATCCATTTAGGATCATTTTTGTTTGATCTGATTTCCCTCTTTGGAACATAATTTGACTGAGCAGCTAGAACTATGCCCTGGAAAGCATCATATCGGCAACCATCACCACCTACCTGACCCTTAGTCAGGTCATTCCAGTTCAGCCCACCTAAGTAATTTTTCAGTCCTATGAAATAAGCCAAGCGAAAGTCAGGGACGGAGACTTGATTGCCATTATTAGGGGAATTCCATGATATATTAAAACTGAGTGATTTGTGATCACTTTCCCCAAGCTCATCATTAACCTCAAGATTATTAATTAGTGTTATCCTACTGGCAAGAACCAAGTCAAGGAGGTTATTTCCCCTAGTTGGTTCTGTCACAAACTGTTTTAAAAAACAATCCTGGATCGTATCAAGAAAGTCACCTGACTCTAAATTTCCTGTCAAATTGCTCCAGTCAATCTGTCTATAGTTGAAATCTCCCATTAGCACAACATTTTCATATGTAGATGCTTTACGAATTTCGTCCCATAGAAGTTTACTGCACTCCCTATCAAGATTTGGGGCCCTGTAAATCACACCCAAAATTAGTTTTTCTCGGCCCTCGAGAAGCTGTAACCAAACAGATTCAGTGGCTGACGCTTCTAATTTAATATCTTGTCTAACACAACGATTTAAATTGTCTCTGACATACATCGCTACTCCACCACCTTTCCTGTTGACCCTGTCAGTGTGGAATAATTTATAGCCTTGTATGTGACATTCAGAGGGCATCTCTCTATCTTTCAGATTGAACCAGGTCTCTGTTATAGCAATAATATCTATGTTTCCTGCACTTGCAATTAATCTTAGCTCATCTATCTTATTTTCTACACTCCTGCTATTAGTATAGTAAACCTTAAGGGAGCTAGTCCCTTGCTGCCCTCTGCTGTCCCCCTTTGTTTGCTGACCTGATCTATTGTCTTTATTTATAACTTCATGCTGAATGCCTTTTATATATTTACTGTTTCCAACCCTAGTGTTGCAACCTGCTTGTTTCCCACACACACCCATACCTCTATCTTCCATCAGTTTAAAATCATAGGCATTTCACCAATGGCCTTCTCAATCGAGTCTGCAAGTGCTACCACCCCTGCCCCAGAGAGATGTACCCCATCCCT